GCGTTTTCTCTGTGGCTAAGAATTGGGACACAACAAATTACTGTGGGGACTTTGGAAAGATTGGCTCACGGGATAGAGAAGTGAAATTTCACTGTCTCTAGGGCATATATATCCCTATACCTCCTACAGTAGTTCTCCCTTTTCCTTCAGGCGTAAAAAAAAAAAAAAAAAAAAAAAAAAAGAATGAGCCTTCTCTGTGGCTAAGAATTGGGACACAACAAATTACTGTGGGGACTTTGGAAAGATTGGCTCACGGGATAGAGAAGTGAAATTTCACTGTCTCTAGGGCATATATATCCCTATACCTCCTACAGTAGTTCTCTCCTTTTTCCTTCAGGGTCCAGCATTGCTCAGAAGGTAACTCAAGCCCAGACAGTAGCATCGGTGCAGGAGGCAGAGGCAGCGATGCTGAACTGCACCTATGACACCAGTTCTGAGATTTATGGTCTCTTCTGGTACAAGCAGCCCAGCATTGAGGAGATGGTCTTCCTTATTCGTCAGGACTCTTACAACCAGCAAAATGCAGCAGAAGGTCAATACTCTACTCTTTGCATTTCCAGAAAGCAAGCAATTCTATCCAGCTTGTCATCTCAGCTTCACAACTGGGCGACTCAGCAGTATATTTCCGTGCACGTCAAGAAATCAGTGAGAGAACTGCTAGAGGGAGGTGTACAGAAAGTCTACAGTCTGTCTGAGGGAGGCACCTGGGTAAGGATCAAGGCAGGAAGTCACCGTCCAAAACAGGAAGTTGCCAGGACTGAGGCAGCACAGGTGTCGTGTTGCGAGGAGACACTCACTCTGAGAAAACCCCTCTGTAGGTCATGACCAAATCCAGAGTTGTCATTGATCATATTCATCTCTATCCCTGAAACTGTGGCTCGAAAGTAGAGATAGAATTGTTGATGGAAGATTGGAAAGAACAGCCACAAAAGACAATTTGCCATTTGGGCATCAGAATGAGCTTGAAGTGTATCAGAACAAAATGACTGAAAATCAATGGGAATCTGTATAAATTCTTGGATTTTTGGATCAATTTGCTCAAATATTGAATAAATATGATATAAGAATTGTTTTAAGAAAGGCCTTGAAATCTGTCTACATGTTTTCTGTTTCAAAACACTCATTTATTTGTACTGCTTAATGAATTAGTTTAATTTAGCTCTGCTGTGAATAAGCGGTACTTACCGCTTCTTTCTAAGGGTTCCCACTGTGTAATAAACTAAGCGGAAATTTCTTTCCATCTTTGTGATTCCTCAAGTATGGAAGAGCTCGGTTTCTACACTAAAGATTTTTAGGTGCTTCTCCATTCACACCCATGAAATGACTGGATAACAGTGGCTCTTAGAAGCAATGTGGAGAATCTCCAGCACAGAGAAATAAAACTCTTTTCTTGTATGCAAATAAGGCATACTTTTATCCTGAAACAATCAGCACCTTTTTAATATATCAAATTCAACCTGCCACTAAATTATGTTTCCATATGCTTTATTATTTCCACTGATCTGTTTGTTTCATTCTACACCAGTCCAAGAAGGGAGTTTTATACTAAATTTTAGTACTTATTAATGTAAATCACTCCTAACCAGTACTTTTCCTTAAGGGTATTTTGATAATTTTTGGACATTTATTTTTAAACATAAATATTGAAAATTCATTCCATTTCTCATGTTCAATATACCTTAAATGAAAACAAGTAAAAAATGAAATAAAAACGCTTGAAAATAGGAATGTTAGCATTACATTTAAAGACTATATTAACATAAAAAATATCAACTTTCTATTTTTTATTCTGGAAAATGTTACTTTTCTCACTTGATTAAAAAGCTTTCGTATGCCCCAATTACATTTTGAAGTTTCTTACCTTTATCATTTAATTTCTCTCAACTATCCCTCCATGTGTAACCATGTAGATACATATTTTATTTCAATTTTCTTTTATATATTCACTTTTACTTATATTTGAAATGCAAAGCAAAGCAGTTATAAAAATCACATTGGCTTGGTAGCTTATAACCTCTAAACTTCAAGTGCATATAAGTTGCAACATGTTTATACCACCTAGACCATTAAACTTTATTAATGTCTAGCCACACCTTAATCCAACATCTATAAAGTTAACACAGTAAAAATATTAATCCTCAAATAAAGACACAAATATTCAAATTAATATATTAAAACAAAGCAGCATATTAACAGAATACTGCACCTCCATTTTTAAAAAAAATTACTGACATATTCATGTTTTCACAAAAAACCATTAAGTACCTACTATGTGACAAATTTGAGTCCGAGAATTCTACTTAAAAGCCTTATCACAAACTCTATAGATGTAGATGTAGATGTATCTCTATACTCCGGGTTTGCCTCGCCCTTACTAATCCTATCCATGTAAAGATCAAAATTACTGAACAGTATAGGGGAAGCAGTGAAGGGGCAGAGAATGAACTGTTCCTTTCTCTGCTCATGTGCTTCACTTCATCTCTCCTCCTCTCCTCCAAAACACTGAATGGCATCACGTGAGCCATTTGCTGAGTCCCCAGTCCTGCTATGTTCGATGTTCCATGACCTGAAATGCTCATTTCCTCCAATTTCCTCCTTCCAACTCCAACCACGCTTTCTCATGCCTCAAAACTAGAATGGCTGTAGCTGGATGATCAGCAATCTTTTGTTGCAATTTCCTCTTATCGTAGCAAAAGTGTAGACATAAAGTTTAAAGGGAGCATCTTTTAATATTTCAAAAAATATTTTAAATTGTGGTGAAAGCACATGACATAAAATACATCACCTTAATGATTTTAAGTGCTCAGTTCAGTGGTATTAAGCACATTCATACCGTTGTGCAATTACCCATCTCTAGAACAGGTGTCATTTTGCTAAAGCTGAACTCTTCTGTACTTCATTTTACAACCCAGCATCATCCCAACCTATTTTTTTACACACTATTTATCAAAACGGAAGTTTGTTGCTGAGTTTTCAAAATTCCCCACTAGCATAATTCTATGTCAAGTTCTGACACATGATTTGGAAAACACAAAAGAAAATATCATTGAGCCCAAACAAGATCTGGTCCTGAATCACTTAAGTCTATGTCTAAGATGCTGTTCTCACATTAACTCTGGATGGGGAGCTCCTTTACCCAGGAGCGTTCACCTGTGTGAAAAGCATTGACACCCTAGGATGCAGTACTCAAACACTTTCCTGTGTTATGAACAAAGAATACCTTAGATGTTATTATAGCTCTCCTTTAGATGCACGAAGGCTACACGAAGTCTGCGAAGGAAGTCAGGGATGAAGACGTTTTCTCACTTTGGAAGAACGCCCGGAAAACATTCACTCCTGTCCACCAGGGGGCGCAGCTACCTAACACATTCATTTCCTGTGCGAAGTGTGGGTTTAGAATCATGGTTTCACAATCATCTCAACAGTTCTTCATGTTAACAATCAAGAACATTACTGAGGAAATGCTGTAAAGATGAGCACTTCTCCAGGCCTACTGATTGTGATATTCTTAATATTTGGTAAGTAAAATGCCTGTTAAATGTTACATTCCTTGTTCCATGTCAGCAAAAATGTTAACAATGAATTTATCATCAAAGTGACACAGATCTCTTTTTTCCCTAGGAAGGACACATGGAGATTCAGTGACACAGATGGGAGGCCAAGTGATCCTCTCGGAACACGCTGTCCTGACCATAAACTGCACTTACACAGCCTCAAGGTACCCCACTCTTCTCTGGTATGTCCAATATCCTGGAGAAGGTCCACAAGTCCTTCTAAAAGCCATGAAAGCCAGTGAGCAAGGAAGTAACAAAGGCTTTGAAGCCACGTATGATAAAGCAGCCAGCTCCTTCCACTTGGAGAAAGCCTCAGTGCAAGAGTCAGACTCGGCTGTGTACTACTGTGCTCTGAGTGACACGGTGGCAGGAACTGTAGGGGGAGCCGAGCACAAACTCAGCAGCAACAAGAGCCCTGGCTTGGTATCTGCTTCTAGAGTCCACTGTGGTTTCCACACGGCTGTAGTGTTCACCTCTCCACTCCTCTGGGTGATGTAATATATTACAAGTGTCTAGAGCAGAACACGAGGTACACATCTGCCACAACCAGCTTTGCATTAGTGAACTCGAAGCCAGAATTTTACACTGATAGTTCTTTTTTTTCTCAACTAAAGTAATCTCAAATAAAAACTACTTAACTGTTATAGTGGTCTCTGTGTGCATCTCTGCAGACAGAGGGAAGCCCCCAATCCAAGTCACCCACCTTGTTAGATATTGCTGTGACTTATTATGTGAGAGCCACGTGTGCCAGAGAGAGTGGATTCTTAACAATGTCTCCCAGAGTGTGGAAGGAGAGGCAACAGGAGAGCTACAGCTTTCCAAGCTCTCAGTTTATTAATGCATAAAGAAGGAAATAGAAAAATTGAGGAACGATAGGACCTCACTTGTACCAATGATGCAAATGGTAAAAAAGGGTTTTCATAATGCAGATAATTTTTCCTTTTTTTTTTTTTGTAAATAAGAAGTAGATACAAGCTGATATTCAGAAGAAAAAGGGTCCAAAAGTGTAACTGGAGGAACAACTCATGTCTAAATAATGTGGATCCTTAGTTACACAAGTCATTTGACTTTCTCACACAGCCTCATGTGAGTTCCTTTGCAGAACCAAAGGAAGGTTAAGCAGACATTTTTACTCTTACTAACAGGAAACCCTATTAAAAAGAAAATAAAGAAAATGGATACATATTGAAGATATACTCCTAAGTGAAATAAATAAGTCACACATGTGTAAATACCAAATAGTTTCCCTGGTGTGAATACTCTGCAATAATACATAAGATCCTAATAAGATTACTGACATTTAGAAATGGGAAGAAAGGTGATAAAGGTGTAGGGAAGGTGGGATGGGTAGGGGAAGGGCAATAAGGGAAAAGAAAAAATGTGAGAGATTGAAAAGATGAAAATAAAGTGTTTGTAGATGGGGAGGGGAGGAGGGGGTGAAGGGAGGGCAGGGGTAAGGGGAAAAAATGAGAATCAAGACTTGTCATGTAGAGGTACAAGATCCCAACAATGAATGTAACTGTACTGTATCCCTAAAATATACCAATAAACTCAATTAAAGCTGAAAAAAAAAGAAAATAAAGAATCTTAAGATGCAGAAACTCACAAACATAGAAAATGATACAGCTACAGTGATAACAAAATTTTAAAAGTTGTGATGAAACATGAAAACTCACCTAGCACACCACTGAAAAAATGTATAAGTAATAGAATAACCATGCTCTTCACCACAGCCTGGAAAGCAACAAATATTGGAAATGTCTGTAACAGACTAAGGAATGGTACATAACACAGGGTAGGGAAGAAAGAGGAAGAAAGAGGGTAGGGAAAGGAAAAAAAAAATATATATATATAAATTATAAATCAAATGGAGCTTCATTTAACATATTTGCCACTTATATTTTTATTTATACACCTGCCCATTTTAATGTTATTATCTCTGTTCACCACATCTAACTGTGAACTACAGATCATACGTTTGTAAAGCCCCACCGCTTTTTTAAACAATTTTTTTTTTAAAGTAGGTTCAGGTTTAGCTCATCACCCCAGACAACCAACCCTTGCAGCCTCTTCCATTATAATCATTCTCAACCAGAGTGGTCCATTTGTAGCAACTGATGAACCTACAGTCACACAGCCGAGTCACTCAAAGCCCATGGTTTACATTAGAAGTCACGTTTCTGGTTGTATACGGATTTTGATACATATTTAAGGAATCAAATCTACCCTTACTTATACTGTTGTACAGAATACTCTCACTGTTCTAACCACCCTCTGTACTTTTCCTGTTTACTCCATTCTGAACCCAACCCCTGACAATCACTACCCCTTTTACCATAGTTTTCTTTTTCCAGCATGTCATCAGATTGGAATCATAGAATATATAAAGAACTAAAAAAAAAAAAATCAGACCCCCCCCAAATATAAAGACCCAATTCAAACATGGGTATCTGAAATAAACTGACATTTCTCAGACAAACAAGTAAAAGAAGCAAATAAATGTATGAAAAAATGTCCCACATCACTGATCATT